GGTCATATCCGATTGAAAGGTTCTGCATAAGTTAAAAGGTAGGTTTTACTGGATTGCTATGAGACCCAATATGTTCTCTGGCATTGAATGTTGGGCTTTAAAAGGACGAGATGAGCATAAAATAGGAGTTGCTGAGATGAGGATGTTGAGATGAAAAAGATAAGATTTGTAATGTTCGAATTCGTGGACGGGTTGGAGTGGCTCCTGTTGAATAGACAATGGTTGAATTCCGATTGAGGTGGTATGGACATGTTCAAAGATGGCCACATAGCGCGCCAGTGAGAAGGGTTGGTCAAACACCATGGAGTCCCATAAAAAGTGGTCAAGGACGACCTAAAAAAACCGTTCGAGAACTCATAGAGGCATAGAGCACGACCTAGTACTTAATAATATATCAAAAGATTTGTTTTTCAATAGAGCACAATGGGGTCATGATCCATGCGGCCAACCCCACCTAGTGGGATTTAAGGTGAAATTGTTGTTCAAACTCGACCCCTTGGCAATACAAACTTACATATCTCTTTGACATGATTTCCTTTTGCTTAGGAACAAGAAAAACACATCTTGTAGTCTCTTTTTAATGCATTTTTTAAAATTTTATTTGTATTATCCCAAAACTCTGTTTGAGCTCAAAAGCACTCTGATCCTACGTTATCATTCTGTTATCACGGCCAAAGTTTTTCCCAGTATAAATTTATGTTCTTAGAGTATTGTAGTGGCCTAGTAACTGTTACATACTTACATTTCCCTTTATTGATGCAGCCAATAAACTTTTTAAATTTTTGACGGGGAATCTGAAAGTGTATTGTACACAGGACGTACCAGATTATGCACCTGGAACACAGAAGAAAAAGGTCTCTGGTGAAGTTATTAGGTGGAATAACGTTTCTGGTGCTGAAAAAATAGATGCATTGAAATACATAGAGTTACTTGAAGCTGAAGTCGAGGAATTGAATCGTCAAATAGAACGGAGATCTGCTAATGGACAGAATGAATTGTTTGAATACCTAAAGACCCTTGAACCACAAAACCTGAAGGTATGAATTTGGTTGCGGGAGAATTTCAGAATTCTTACATCAGTGACCAGCCCTTGCATACCTTTCATCTTGAGCATATAGGTTGTTTATAGTTTATACATTTGGCTTATCTTATGTCATAGTTATTTGGGAAAATGGGAACTTTGGTCTCTCATATAGCGAGCAATGGTAAGTTTAGTCCATCAACTATTAGTGTCACCACCTTTAGTCCCTTAGATATCCTAAAAGTGGTAAGTTTAGCCTTTCATGAATTTACATGTCATGTTTTATATTCTTATTTGTATCTAGTCTTCTGATTAGCATCTTGTCTTGTCAATTTTTATGTGAGGTCGTGAGAACTGACTTATTTACTTATTCCAAATACAATTGATAACATACATTTGCATTAAAAATAAAATCTAGAGATGAAGCGGGAGTTTTTGGACTTTGATTACAATCATGTATAATCATCTAACTATTCTTAAAACCCAGAGATTTAAACAATAACAAAGATAAATCACCCTAAATAAGACTAAAACATAAAAAAAGTACCAAAATAGGAGTTCCATGTTTTTATTCCCGAAATAGGATTTCGCACTGTGGTAATGTGACAATGTACACGTGCACATTACTATACTTTTTGGTAATGTACATGACCATGTTTAGTAATGTAAATGCATGGAAGTCCTATTTTGGTATATTTTCAATGTTTTACTCCTACTTTTGTCTTTTTCTCAATAACAAATTGAAGTTTTTTTTCTAAAGATGGTTTAAAGACATTACTTAAATCATCTTTCATGAACCAAGAGTTGTAATGAATTAGGGAATACACACACACACACACACACACAGAGAGACTAATTTATCACAATTGGGTGACCAAAAAGTGCAATTGTCTCTAGTCATCTTGTCTGCATTCGCTAAGTGCTCTACTGGCCTGTGGATATTCTTGTGTAGGAGCTTACTAGCAGTGCCGGTGAAGACGTTGTTCTTGCAATGAACACATTCATTAAACGCCTCTTAGCAATTTCAGATCCCAGTCAGATGAAGGTATGGATTTATAAACCTTCTTCATGGAACATTCATCATATCATTAAAGGCCCTTCTTTTTACATGAATCTGGGATGAATTCCATTGCATGGTTTCTAGAAGTTTGAGAATGACCCCAGCTCATTGACTTAAAATTACTTTCCGGGAATTGAATGACTTGTAATTACTTCATGGCGTACCTATTGAGATGATGCCGTGTGAGTGACCTTTAGTTCAAGGGTTTGAGTCCTAGAAGCAGCCTCTTGCAGAAATGCATGGTAATGTAAGCTAATAGTATACCCTTGCGATCGGACTCTCTCCCGATCCCTTCTAAGGAAATCTTTTTGTGCATGAATGCCATTTTTTAATTAATTTCTTTTTTGGGGGCAGGGGTTGACTAGTGAGATCCAAGACAGGCACACCATTTTTTTTCTCTACTTCGTTACAAGTAACAAACCAAATGGATATTTTTTTCATGGATTCTTTTTAGTTTTATGCCCACGACAGATTTTTTTTTAGTTTTCTTCACATTCCATTTAGCGAAAGAAATAAACGGGTCACATATTTTCTCTACTTTGCATAAACTTCCGCAATACAGATTCATTTTTTCGCATACTACGTGAAAGAACAAACGAGGATTTATTTTTTCATTTTTTTTGTCGCTTACGAATTTTGACTCTCCCTTTCAATGTGGTGGAAATGAAAATGCAGACAAGCGTAACAGAGACGAGTGTTCCAGAACTGGCAAAGCTGCTATACTGGCTTATGGTCGTCGGTTATAGCATCCGCAACATCGAAGTTCGGTTTGATATGGAACGTGTGCTGGGCTCTCCTCCACCGAATCTTGCCAAACTACCTCCGGCCGAAAATCTTTAGGGCATTTCTCTTCTCTATATTCATTTTGGGTTTTTGCCTGTGCAACATTTATATATGTGTGTATACACACCATCCAAAGGTGGTGTATAATTTTTTTGCAGGGCTTCCTCTCTTCTTTGTTTTCAGTGTTTTTTTTGTTTTGTAGAATACAATCATTTTAACTAGCTGTACTTTTTCTCACGACATTGTAGCAGAACTAATTGTACTCATCAGGAAGTTGTCATGTTTGCAGGAACTCACTTTGTCTCTGTCCCAAAAAAACTCATAGTTTAACATAGCACTAAGTTTAAGGAAAGTGAAAAACGTTTGGTTGCAAGTGATGCCAGGAAGAGAAAGATTATGAACCAAAGTTTTTCAAAAAAACAAACAAAAAAGGAGATTTTTTTTGGGACGTTTCAAAACAGAAAAAAAGGAGTTTTTTTTTGGAGTGCCTGCGTGGTGCACCCTAGGTGCATACTATTTTTATAGGTCTCATATACATTTTTTTATGTTTTTTAATTAAAAAAAGATGTTTATTTAAATAGTAAAGAAATGTTTGTTTTGTTTGTATGTATGTCTACGGTAAATTTTAGGTTCACCATAGAATTTGCTTTTTTTTTGAGGGAGTATTACTCAATTTATCTTTATTGTCGGGTTGGTTTTTAGAGAAGGGATTTACCTTGGGGTCCAATAGTATTATTGTCCCTCTCAAATGATGTTGACCTTTTGTTTTTCAATAAGAAAGTAAGTTTGAACATATAACCACAGGAGAAATAAAATCACGAATTTTAGTGAAATACTCTATGCATCCTAAAATTGCAACGCACAAGTGATAACAAGTAAAATCTCAATTAAATTGAAATTATTTTATATACAAATTGGTATACACAAAAGTACATACTCCATATTACATAGTCCCTCTAATCTGAATCTATTCCGAATTGTAACGGATATTAATCGGATCGGATGTGCCATTATCAAATCCGTATCCGTTTATTTTTGTCGGACATCGAATTCGGATACTGAAAATCAAAACCGTATCCGCATCCATCGGATATCGGATTTATCCGTATCCGTTTCCAATTTTTAAAATCAAATTAAACAATACTTTAATTTTAAATTAGATTAAAGTCAAACCATTATTAAATCAACTATAATTTGGTATGGGATAATTATTTTCTTTGTTTTCATGATTTATGATATTCTACGATAACTCTATATGATAAAAAGATATACACAACACACATATACACATATTTTTATATGTTTGTACATATTTTTGTGTCTACACATTTATTTTGTATATAAAAATTTCTTATATTTTGAAATATCAATACAGAAACAAAATATAAACATAAAAAATTAGGAAAAACTATATATAACAGATCAGATATTTGGATAAACGGTTATTTAAACGGATGCATATTCGGATCGGATTTTAAACGGATCGGATATACAATTACCAAATCCGTATCCGTTTAGTAATCGGATATCCTTAATCGGATACGGATAATGTCCGTTTAAAACGGATGCGGATATTTTCTCTTTAAACGGATTCGGATGCGGACGGTAATCGGATTTTCGGCTATCCATTGACAGCCCTACCCACATCGCAAATAACTTGTACAATATTATCTTTTTTTAAATCATTTTATTTTTAAATTAGTAGAAAAATAAAAAATAAAAATTACACCGTTAAAAATAGATCAAAAAATCTACAAAATAAGTTGCGACAAGAATATTTTATTTTATCCAATGATCAACCAAAAGTTTCAAAACAACTAAACAAACAAAGTTATCGAGAGACCGAAATAGTAACTCTAGTTTACATTTTGGGACGGAAGGAGTAGTTAAACAACATAAAATTTCAAAATAGAGCAAAACCAAAATGTTATACATAAATATTTTATTTTATCAAATAACCAATAAAAAATATAAATAAATAAAAATTATTGGAAGACCAAAGCAATACTCCATGGTAATTGTCTAATTGAGACTATTTTTGGAACGGAGGGAAGAGTGACCACACTTTTTCAAGGGAAAAAGATATGCTGAGTAATTTCGTAAGGACGAAAAATAAAGTGAAAAAAAATTAATGGAATAATGAGATGTTCTTAATTTCATCTATAATAATCCCAAAGGCCTTTGAAAAAAATAAGAATGGCATTACTTATTGTTTTTCATAAAGTAGTTTATATCATATGTTACAGAGAATGGACAAACCAAAGCACACATAACCCAATGTAGGAAAAATAAGAAGGTAAAATTCAACATAAATTAAACTAGAAATACACTCCTATTGCACCTATTTGGGCTTCCTGCGATTAACAGAGGTAAAGACGATGAGATGATGAGATATAGAGACAAAATTTGGCCTAAATTCTGAACCGGAGCTTCATTCCCACTTCCAGAAAGAAGAACGACAGCATTGCACCAAACCGACCGATCATGGAGGAACCCACACAAATGGTTCGGGGTGGGGGGAGGCTTAATTAAGGGTTACCCACCGCCAACTGTAGAGGGTAACAATTCTTCGGCCAGCTCGGGTATGCACGTTTGAACAAACTCATGCATACAGTGTCATGCTGCTGGAGGACTCCATTGAACACGCATTTCATCGCCCCTGAGAATCAGTTTAAATTTTATATTAAAAAAAACGCTGTAGTAGTATTCAAAGAAGCTATATTTCATTAAAATTATTGACAGTTTTGAAGAAAAAAAACTGAACACTTGATTATAAAAGTGGGGGTCTTTTGGGAACAACTTTACTTCCAAGTAAGGTAAGGTCTTGGGGTAAGGTCCACGTACACACACGCCCTCCCCAGACCCTACTTTTTGTGGGTTTGTTGTTACTTACACTAACTACTTTAAGCACAAAAACTTTGTCAAAAGTGACACCTTTTTTTCAGGGACAGACGAGCATACTCTTATGAACCAGCCATTTCATGTGTAATATCTTTATTTTGAAAAGAAGCAAACACTTGTCTTTATTTTGAAAAGAAGCAAACACTTGTCTTTATTTTGAAAAGAAGCAACCTATAAAACATAAATTTATAGATCGGTATACCATGTGTGCCGAGAGGTTCCTTAACGCGACCACGGCGACCAAGCTTTGTCCAAACCTCAACAGGCTGCAGAAAAACCACAATACCAATGAAACTAGTTCAGATAAACCTGGATGAAGATTTTCTTAGTGACAATATCAATCCTGTTAGCAGGCTTGATACACAAAAAAGAGAAAACAGGCTGCAGAAAACAACTTTAGTGTGAGTAACATTTTTACCTTGAACCATCTCACATCCTCCGGAGTGTGGAACATGTATCTTATAGACGCTTTCATTTTCGAAACTCTTAAAGGGTACCTGCATGATGCAGGTAATTAAGTGCTTCATTAATACTTAAGTTTCAAGAAACAATAATTTTCCATCTCAAGCAATAGAATCTAGAAATGGACTCCTGTGAGACTATCTCGGTGAGGAGTGAAGCCTTTCTATAAGAGAGAAGTGATACTGGAGATGGTCTCACAAAAGTTTGTATCTAGAATCAAAGGCATATTATTATATTTAGTTTTCTTTTGGCAAGTAAAGGGGGAAAAAGGTTTTTATGTATTGTTTCATTTTGAAAAAAATAAGGAAAATCAGAACCGATAGAAGAAATTACAAGTTTAAAGAAATTCAAATTTCCCTCTAAATAAAGAAATAAACTCCCTCTGTTCCAAAAAACTTTGCATGCATATAGATTAAGTCAAAGTAGAATGTAAATTTGTGTACATTTTTGTAAACTAATTCAATGAGGAGAGATAAATAGGTTGAAATGATAGGGAGTAAAGGAAAATTTTGGTGCGCGAGAGTTTCTGAAGAAAAGTGTGCAAAGTAATTTGGAACATCTAAAAAATGCAAAGTAATAAGGAATGGAGGGAGTAGCATTGGAGACTTTGAACCACTCCTCAGTTTTCCTCTAAAATTTCTTACTGTATTTCCCTAACATTTTCCTGGTTCCAAAAGGATTGCAACAGTTTGGTCTTTTCGTCATCTATGCTTCATATTTTTATATACCAATGCCGAATGAGTAGTTGAACAGTAAGGAATACAAGATAATTAAAATGTTACCCTGTTAGTATAATCTTCTTTAGAATAATCCTATCCGGGTCAATACATCTTAAAGAGCCAATAGCAGCAACGGCTGGTGAAGTTGCTTCTCCATTGGTTTTCATAGCAATCAATGGAAGTGGAGGAAATGAAATCGGAGCATAGACTGAAGCAATTGAAAAGCGTCCAGCATGGAGAAACCTCTCCATTTTATGCTTGTCAGAAGTAATATTGTCGGAAGAAAATATTGGCCTACAATAATGCACAAAAAAGCCGACAAAATTTGCTGCATATTAAGGAATTTGTCACATTCTTTGATTTATTTCCCATGAAATTTTAAGGAGAAATACCTCGCCACGAACTGGCGAAACCCAACATGAAACAACAACTCCTCTTTTGATTTTATAGGAGCAGTGTATGAATCATGCTTCTTAACACTGCAAAAACAAACAATAGTAATTAGAACCGTGAATTCCAAAAGATAAATACTGACAGGCTTGACAGCTCTTGAACCAGATCTTCACAGCAAAAGAGGTCAGGAGTAGTCACATCGTAGAGTGATGGGCATATGCTGGCCCGATAGTTTAGATGAGATAAGCAGAAAGATTGATTGTCCTTCATACCATGTGGAGAATCCAAACCCATGTATAGGTAAAGACAAATTATTCACTCCCTCCATCCCAAGAAAAAGCAGTCACATTTCAAACACTTTTGGTCCCAAAAAAGTCTAGTTTGATCAAATGAAGCTGATTTTCTTTTAGTTTGGTTATAGCAACATATAAAATTTAAAAATAAATGTTTCATGATTTATGACAAGGTGTATGTTGCCAAATTTTAAAAGTTGCACACTGGTCAAACAAGACTTTTGTGGGACGAAGGTAGTAATATAATGTTCGCAGAAAGACCTGAAGTGAAGGACGGAAATTTTAGACTCGTGTTGCAAGAGACCACAAGTGATTACTGGCATGGTCTTCACAAGCATACATAACTTATTTGCAGCAGCAATGGGCACACAACTAATATGAAGCCGCACATACGAACCCGCCACTATGCATTCTGTAGCATTGTTTCGCTCCATGTCTTGAGCCTTAGCCAGTACATGCTTTTGTGTCCTGTTGAAATTATCAAATGCAAATATTCTAGCATACTCTGGAGGTAGAGATTCCTGAAATCATAACCACACACCATTTCAATTGTCAGATCACATTGAATTCTCAATGTATTAAAGGAGAGATGCTTATTCAAGGCGTGTGTACCTTGGGATCCCATGAAGAAGTTCTGAAAGATTTTAGGCCTCTGTACTTGGCAAAGCGCTTCCTAGCAGGAACATCCAGTGGTGTATCAACTTCATCAGGGAACTCTAGTGAGGCAATTATAAGAGAAACCATCAGACATTGATAGATCAAATGATTGTCACGCTTCAGAACAACAGAAGAGGAAGAAATATATAAAAACAGACAAAAGCTGAAGGATAAATTCATCATAGAATAATATCTCTTCAATAAGAATAGTGCGTTTAAGAACTAAACTTCAATATTATATGCCTAAATTAAAAAATAATTACCAGGTCTAACCAAAATAGAAGGGAAATCAGTCCATCCAAGCGTATTATAACAAATAATCCGATATGGTAGAAGTTCATGAAGTTCATTATTTTCATTGCCAATGGAGCTAAAAGAGTCGTCTTTACAATGTTTTAGCTTCGGGTAAATAATGAACTCAATCAAAATGACACATTGAACTTCCCTGTGAAGTGTTGGGCAGTAAATGCATCAAATGTCTAACAGAAACATCTCTGATTTTTACAGGGGTAAGGTTGAGTACATCTTGACTTCCTAGACCCCAACAGAGTTGGGATTATCTTGGGTTTGCTGTTGGTGATGTTCAGAAAAAATGGATATGAAAAAAAATACAAATAGTTATTAGTATTTGTTATATATTTGAATTTTAATTTTAATTCAAATCATAGTTGCCACGGCATTGTCTAGGCGTCTAGGCAGTGTGCTATTCTTGCAATGGTGAATCGACACACCTTATTTAGGGTTCCTCGCTAGGCGTTGGTTTTTGGACAAGTTGGCATCAAGCACTGCCTTGAAGACGACTAGACGCCATGAGGTCTCGCAGTCTCTCCTCTGGTCTCAATCATTTCTCTTGCCGTGATTGATCTATTCTCTCGCATGATTGATCGATAGTACTCGATAGGTTTTTTTTGCATTCTCGACCAATAGTACCTTTCTTGCAGTCTCGATTAGTACTCCGTAGGTTTTTTTTTAAGTGCTTTATACCCCATACTCCAGTACTTTATTTTTTGTAATGCTTTATAATTAGTATATTTCAAATTAAATGTTTTTTCTAAGTCATTTTTCTAATAAGTACTCAGTGCTTAACTTTCTTAATGTTAAATGATTAATTTATTTCCAATTTAAGTTGATAATGCTTTTTTCAACTTTGGTTATTAAATTTTGCTGTATTCAAAAAATTTTAAACTTTATAAACTACAACATATAATGTGATATATTTATATTGATGTTTTTATTGTATAGCAATTCTCATATATTACGTGTTGCCTAGGCAGTTGCCTAGTTGACTAAGCGTCATGGTGGTACACCAGCGTCACGCCTCGCCTTGGCGCCGTGACAACTATGATTCAAATTGTTGTCAAAATGTTATAATACAAATAATAATACTCAATATTCAATTCGATTTGGTTCGTTTACAACCCTTCACTTAACCCCAACCATAAAGCGTACTAGACACAATTGTTTCCCATCACTTTTACCCTCAAAATAGCAACAAGTTCAGAGCAATGTCATCACTATGATTACACAAGAATAATGCAGGGGAAGAGATTATCAATGAAAAGCTTTAATTACCTTCGTCTTCTGCATGAGCTGCTTTAATTTTCTTAATATCATCCTCAATTTGCTCTGTAGTCAACTTCTCAGTCTCCTATAAAACGAGTTGTGATTTCCATATTCAGGAAAATATTCAAATGTTTGTCAAAATAATGGATAGGCCGCTTATATCATTAGAGTATGGTTTGTTGGAAATTTGTTCCACTCCAATTCTATCAGACTTTCAGGAATAGCTTTTATTTAGTTACAGTTGTTAGACAAATGTCTTATTTTTTTGCAGGAACTTTAGTAAAGCTGTTCTTCCAAGATGATCACCATCATGTAAATAAGTACATAACACCACTCAACACCAGTATTAAGTTTTATATGATGAAAAGATCAACACATTGTTATAACTAACCATAAACACAGATTCTGTATCAGTTTCTTCATCTGAGTTCATTGAAATGGAAGTCTGGTCCTCATCAACAGCAAAGTCATCCTTTTCCCTTTGGTTAGGCAATACATCTTCACCATTATCTAATACCATACCGTCATCTCCCTCTTCGGTCTCTGAATGTTCACTATCAGAGTCATTGACAATCCAAGCAGCCTTGAATGACAATTCCATGCCACTTATCAAAATCAGTTATACGTGACTACAATCCTACACCGCTGAATATAGTATGAAAAATATAGAGAATATCAGCACTCTTGCTATAAACCTGATAGTCAGAAGTTCCATGAGGAAGAGTCTTAGGTTTCTTCTTTTTTTCCTTGTGATCCCTTTCAGCTTCAGCCATTTCAGCTTCTGTAGGCCATGTCTGAAATATATCATACCAGAGAAAATGAGACAGTTGAGACTCAGTAGGAGAAAACAAATAACAGAATATTGGAATATAAAGAATCAACTGTGCTGTAGAATGCAATCTTCAAAAGCTCTTATAATTATTCAACCAATAGGTTACAAGTAAAAACATTGTTAACCCAGAGAACAACTAGGGTATCATCGTATCGTCCCTTATTTAATCATATCAAAAGGCAAAGAAGTGTTAAAAGACGATCACAACTCCATTTATTTGAACACACCTGCTCTCCAGCCAATGGATCCGGGACATTTTCAACGATTAAAGGATCTTGCTTCAGAGGGTCAGGAGTAAGGAAACAGACTACCTGCAAACACATTAGAACACTTAAGTGTATAAGAAATAGGACACTAGTAGCTTGTCATCAAAAGAAAACAAACAGATAGTATATTCAAATATAGAGAATATCCACTATCCAATTAAATCATTCTTCCTCCATCTCACTATCTCAGTATCTTTGTCACTTCCACCCTTCACATGGTCAAACTGTAGCTTCTTTTCCTGCATATTTTTCTTGACCATTTATTATAATAACATATTCATGTCACTTCTTGTTTTGTACTTCCTCCGTCCCAAAAATTCCTTCCTCTTTCTTTTTTTCTTGTCCCACAAAGGCATTCCCTTTTCTATTAAAAACCCACTTTTACCCCTACTAATTCTTAACCTACCTATCACATCATACCTTTTTACTAATAATCTACCCATCACATCCTACTTTTACCCATCACATCAAGGGTATTTTTGGAAAGTCAACACAAAATTATCCGGGTTATCCCTCCTTTAAATTTCCTAAAAGTCAAAACGAGAACATCTTTATGGGACAGAGGGAGTAGAACTTTTGATGTAATGTATAAATTTTATTTATTTTTATTATATACTACTCTGTAATGTTTAAATAATTGAAATGAAAATCATTTCAGTCAACCATCATAAACCGTAACGTGACAAAGTGGGACAGAGTATATAAGATCATATAACTATATAAGCACTAACATTTACACAACTTACTAAAGTAGGAAGCAACATTCATTACACTGGCTGTAAAATATCGCTGCTTGAAATACTTGCCAGCCAAGGCTTTTCATAGAAGCACTAGTTGAAAGATCATGACTAATGAACCAAAGACTTTTAGTGTGGTTCAAATGTAAAGCTCATATAAGTAAACATACATACTTGTGTATCTGTTATATCATCTGACTCCATCAAGTCATCTCCTTTTCTCAAATTCAAGCAACATGGATCCTTAAGTAGTTCAATTTTGGAAAACTGAAAATCTCCAATTCCTGAAACATGAACCTGATACATCGAGTTTATGTTAACCACAACATATAACCAATGACAATGGCAATGATGCTAAATTCAATGCTAACCAACTGATTGATGGAGAGACCACGAGCACGAACATAGCCAGTGAGTAAGAGCGTACATTTATCAGTTGTGGATTCATCAGCCACAAAATCAACCTACAGAACGCAGAAGCTCCAAAAATAAGAAACACTATTAATGCCTTGCTAAGAATTCTCGGCATGTGGTCTTCCAAAAATATTGGATAAACGTATTCCCTGGATGAAATTAACTGGTCACCCTTCAAGGAGCTGTGGCATACAAAAATGAAGACATACCTTCTGAGCCATGACATAAGGACGCTGGTTACGCCAATGTGGGGATGTTAATCTTTGCTCTTTAAAGAGCCACATGAACTAAGCAGAAAATGAACAGTAAGTATAAATGAGCAATAGTTACAATAGTAAATATACAACATCATATCAGAAGAAAGATGCAAATCATTCACATCATCGCAAAACCTTTCTCGTTTAAGAAGTAAAATAAACAATACCTTATGCAACTCCTCTCTTGTATCTGCTGAATAAAATTTACAACCTTCTGGAAATTCAGAAGAAAGGCTAGAAATGCATGATTTCTTCAAATCCTGCTTTCTTTTTAATTCGCTGGGTAAATCCTATGTGTGGAAGAAAATGTACTAAACTTGTTAACTCACAGAAAAACAGAACTTGGATTGTAATTTGAGAAAAGAAACAAGATATCAGGGCATACTCACACGAATGAGTACTGCAGTGCTTGGAAGACCAATAGCTCTGAATACAGAGAGACAATGATATCCAAAACGATCAATATAGGGGCAATCTTCTTCACTTGAAGCACTCGCAGATGCTACAAAAGCAATCAAATCAGCGACCTGGAAACATCAAACACCAAGTGATCAAATCCCAGTGCTTCAACAAACATAAAGGCAAAATAGAGAAGAGAATATGCTCTAAAACACCTAGTAATTGAGTACCTTGGCCATTTCCATACATGCCAACAGATCACCATGAGGTGCTTTCAAGACCTAGAACAGTCATTTATCATGAATATTAATGAAGACTTATCATCATTATCTGCACCAGTGCCCCTCAATCCCATGTGGGTCAGTGACATTGAGTATATTAAGCCAATTTCTTGTATAAAACTACTTAAAACAAATTCTTGGAAGAAAACATAAAGGCAAACTTTTCTACCAGATACCCTTCGTGTCACAACTTTCATACAGACGGCATCATACGAAGGAAAAACAACCCAGAAAAATCCCAGAAAAGCATGGTCTAGGGAGGTTGTGTGTACGCAGACCTTACCTCTATTAAAAGTAGGGAAGCTATTTCCAAGAGACCCTCAGCTCAAGCAACACAGACAACCGATAGCACAAAAGATATACTACGTAGCAAAATGAGGATAAGGAAAGCATGATAAAACAAAATGCACACAAACAGATGTAAGGAGAAAGACATTAACCCTACAGAGCACACAACGACAAGGACAAAACTACCACCTGGCATCATACGAAGGAATGATGAGATGAAAACTATAAAACAGTAATCAGTCTTCCAGATAGATCATGATGGGAACAATCATGAAAAATTTTAAGACAAGAAAAGTGCTATAATAGGAAGTCTATTATTGATTCAAGACTAGCTGGCAGAGAATTAATTTTTTGTCGAGGGATTAAGAGAATTAAATAATTAATTAAATGCAGAGTACAAAGTTTTAAGCAACCGTCGTGTTAAGTTAAGGTAATCACCAAATTCTACCGGCATCTCTGGTGAATTGGATAAGACATATCCACCAGATTTTCCCACTTTATATCGTAAAAAACTAACCACAATCCGTAAAGCATAAAAGACTAATTATACTTGGACCAACCCACATAAACTGGTCTCTTTCCTCTCTGCATAGTAATAAATACTAAAACAAAACTCAGGGGAAACAACATACAATACAATCCTTAGTCATTATGAGAATAAACACTTGAAATATTAAATACACAGCTGCCATACATAAGTATGTCAATTTCAAATAGAATTAAAGGAAGCTTATTCCAGAAAGGGGAATGGAGGGGGGCGGGGGTATGACCCAAAAGAGTTTGTGATGACAAGATGAGCACGCCAATGAAGCTATGTTAGAGTGAGATAAGTGTATTGAACTTCATGGCATTATTTTTAAAATTGATACTCCCTCCGTCCCTATTTAGATTACAAAATGGGAATTACCATGTAAAATCCAACGATTTTTTGAAATCATTTTATTTACAAATTGGTAAATCAATGAGAAACAAAAATTACATGTTAAAAAACTACCTCCAAAATTCTACAAAACAAGAGATGACAAGAATATTTTATTTTATCAAATAATCAATGAAAACACACAAATAAACAAACGTTATCGAGGAGAGAGAAAATAAAATTGTAATTAAAATGGGGACGGTGGGAGTAGTTATTGAAGTAGTATATTTATTATGCGAATTCTGGTTAGCACAAACGCACAATGGGTAAAATAGGTAAAAATTTACAAGAAACTCATTTCCTTGAGCATAACAATATACAGATTCACATTTATCAATTTGGGGCAAGGTAATATGCCAAGCTGGAAAATTATTACCACTCCAATTTACTTGGGTAATATGAAGCCAACAAACACTACCCAACCAAGTAAAGGCACTTTTGGAAGTCAGCCCAAAAAAATCTTTTATAGAATGTGTAGAAGCCCAACCACAAAGATAAATAAGGATCACCACATAGAAGCACCTACTGTTGCTCTTAGCTTGAACTCCGAAGAAGCAACTGCTGGAAAGACAGAAGTGACTTCAGCTGATAATAATGTTAGAATATCTTGTTCGAGTGAACATAGGTCCGGAGATGCAGAAAGACCAAACAGGACCTGTAACAATGAATATAAACGGACAATGGGATTGAGTTACTATTGTCACCATTTCCCCTTATTATCATGAGTGTCAGATGAAATGTACAAATAAAACACTGACAATGACACGGGGAGGAGCCTTTGATCCTTCCCTTTTCTCCTTCAAAAGGGCTGCCTTCTTTTGCTCCCTCGCCTACACAAATTAGATATCTATCAAACTGAGGATAAAAAAATGAAGAACACTAATAATAATTGCAATTCAACTATTCTAGTTCCCCAAGCCCCCCATCCCCAACTTTATTTATAAAAAAGAAAAATCATTACAAGCTGCACAACCAACTTATTAGCCTAACAATCCAAAAAAACGCCTTATAGCTCCTTCCAGCTGATTAATTGAATTCACATTACAAGTTTAATGCAAGTACATATCTATACAGAAACAAAGGGAAATTACCATCTTGTTGCGTTGTAGCCGAGCATTCCGAGCTCCCTTGATGACATTTCGTTCAGGCCTGACCGATTTTGCTTTATCTGAGAAGAAACATTAAGCATAGAACACTATGCTCGGAATGAAAAGGCGCGAATTGAGCTAGTACGAAAGGAAGAAGAAAATTTGTGAAACGATGATTAACCGTTTGAGGGAATCTTGTGAACGTTGCGAGAAGACTTCGAAGCGAACCGAGTCTTGTGTTGCTTGTTGACTTGAACACGAGAGCCGCCCATTGTTGCCGGCGCCGCCGATGCTCAGAAGCCGGAAGCCCAGATGATGGAGGTGATAAACCCCTGAGACTCAAGCTTGTAGGGTTTATTAATGACTCCGTAATTTCAATACCCGACTCGCAGGCCCAATTGCGAATTGAGTATTTATTTGCTTATCAATTACAATTGCTTTTATTAGAGTCACATTACTTTCAAAAAAAAAAAAAAGAGTCACATTACACACAAATTTAAATATAAGTAGAATTAAATTAGATTAAATCAGTTAGAAAATTTATTATCCAATTTTGAACAACGTTCAAAATCTCATACTCCGTATTTTTTAAAATCATATTATCTATAAATTAGTATATAAATAAAAACTGTAAATTATATATGAATTATTTAAAGGTTACATAAAAAATTTTCAAATGAAGATTGGATAAAAATATTTTATTTTATCATATCATTAACGAAAACATACAAACAAACAAAAATTATAGAAAAACCAAATTAATACTCTCTCCATCCCAAAATTGATTATACTTTTTTGTCTAATTTTCTCGATAACTTTTGTCTATTTGTATACTTTCATTGATTATTTGCTTTAAAAAATTTTTGTCACTTTTTACTTTGTAGAACTTTTAAAGTAGTTTTTTAATATACATGTTTTTATTGATGTACTAATTTGTAAATAAAATGATTTCAAAAGACGTAGATTTTATCTTGTAACTTCAAATTTGCAATCAAAATGGGAACAATGGCTGGTGGAATTAACTGTGAAGTGGATTTCCATAGTCTAGTAGCTGTAAATGGATTTTAATTTTCTATAACCGTCTTTATGGGATAGATGGGATTAAGCCTTCATAGTCTAGGCACTTTCAAATTCAAAGTGAAATTCGAGGTAGATTTTGTAAAGAGAGCTCGAATACGACAAGTTTTTGGTATAATCTAATAACGAGAACAAAATATCACAAGAAAACTAAGGATTTGGAGGCCAACAAAGAGAAAGAAAAGCGGAGGCCAACAAAGAGGAAGAATTTTTAGGAAAATATTATATCAGTGCATCTTATTTTTAGGAAAATATTAAAAAGGTAAATTTGTGAATTTTATGAATTATTTGTTTGTGACTCTAGCATTACTCACAAATAAAATTGCTAACTCCTCAATCCTAACGATTAATATTGGGTTTAAGTTGGCTTTAAACCTCAAATTTTCCCCATTACAACCACCCTCAATTAGGTCAAGTTTGCAAATACTAAAACTTGAATTGAGCATGACCTATTGTCATCCCTAAAAGTGTACTCTCTTCGTCTATAATTTATTTCATCCCTTTCTTATTGTCCATTCATGCATTTTTAAAACTACATTATTACCCTCACATTTATTAATTAATTACTATTTATACACACACTTTATTTCATTTTTTGCAATACATAAGAACAAACATGAAAAGTCAAAACATTTTGGAAAAAATATTAAAGTAGGAGTAAAACATTAAAAATATATAAAAATATGACTTACATGTTTTTATTCCCGAAATAGGAGTTAAAATACATTTACATTTCCAAACGTGATCATGTACATTACAAAAAAATATACTAATGTGCACGTGTACAGTGCCACATTACCTTTACATTACCACAATACAAAATCCTATTTTGAGAATAAAAACATGAAAGTTCTATTTTAGTATTTTTTTTTATATTTTAATCTTATTTAAAATGATTTCTAAGATATTTTTTACTTTCCTTTAATTTGCTTGTAAAATTTTAGAAAAGCATGAATAATTTTTAGAAGGGAGGAGTAGCAACTAGCAACTAGCAACATTGTCCAAAAAAATGAAAAAGGAAAAAAAGGTAAGAGGGAGATAACCAGATAAGTATGCTGTTTAACGGCCACGTCACTATTCCGGCGGCCGGAGAAGGAGGAGGACGATGAACGCGCTCTTGCTGTCTCCATCTTTACATTTTCCTTTTCACTCTGTTAATCTCTTCCCAACAATCCTCCGTCGCGGAAGAACATTGGAGCCGCCTCTCTTTGCCGCAGCTACCTTCACCACCACCACCTCCGCCGCCGCATCCTCCAAGCAATTCAGCAACATCGATGAATCGCAAGGAGGAGGAGAAGAAGGATACGACATCGCTTCACTCCCGAATCGCAACTACGATTTCACTCCCCTCATCGAATTCCTCCAGACGTATGCTCCCACTGAGTCCGACTCGGCCGAGTCTGCACCCGCTCGTCTAGACGAAGTTGAGTTGAAGCTGGCCAATTCGTACCGAGCAGTCCCGACACCACTCTGGCACAAGCTTCTCAAGTCTCTGTCTTCCAATTCAGATTCGATCTTGGCTGCATATGGGCTCGTGGTTTGGCTCCAGAAGCACAATCTCTGCTTCTCGTACGAGCTTCTCTACTCGATATTGATTCACGGGCTGGGGAGATTCAATAAGCTATACGAAGCCTTCTTACTATTCCGGCATCAGAAGCTCACCCCGGTGACTTACAATGCTCTCATTGGCGCCTGTGCTCGCAACAATGAAATCGAAAAAGCATTGAATCTGCTTGCTAGAATGCGTGGCGATGGTTATCACTCGGATTTCGTGAATTACAGTTTGATCATTCAGTCGCTTACTAGGAGCAAGAGGTCTGATTCAGCTCTTTTGGAGAAGTTGTATGAGGAAATAGAGGCTGATAAGATTGAGCTGGACTCTCAGTTGATGAATGATTTAGCAGTAGGCTTCTCCAAGGCCGGGAATGTCGACCGGGCTTTGGATTTTCTAGCCATGATTCAGGCAAATGGCTTGACCCCAAAAGCAGCTACTATTGTGGCTGTAATTTCAGAGTTAGGGAATTTTGGCAGGGCAGAAGAGGCAGAAGCTGTCTTTCAGGAGTTGAGGGAAGGCGGATTGAAGCCAAGGTTGAGAGCATATAATGCAGTATTGAAAGCTCATGCCAAATCTGGCTCTTTAAATGATGCTAAGAATATTGTATCTAAAATGCAGAGTATTGGGATTTCACCAGATGAATATACATATGGTCTACTCATTGATGCATATTCAAATGCAGGCAGATGGGAGAGTGTTTCTGTAGTGTTAAAAGAAATGAAAGCGAACAATGTACAACCTAACTCACTTGTCTTTGGTAGGATATTGGCAGGTTACCGTGACCGGGGAGAGTGGCAGAGATGTTTTGAGGTGCTCGAGGAAATGAAGAACAGTGGGGCTAAACCCGATACACATATCTATAATGTTATGATCGACACATTAGGGAGGTATAATTGTCTTGACCATGCAATGGATGCGTTTCAAAGTATGAAAACAGAGGGAATTGTGCCGGACAATGTGACATGGAACACAATCATAGATTGCCATTGCAAACATGGCCTCCATGGTAAAGCAGAGGAGCTGTTTGAAGATATGCAGAGAAGTGGGTGTATGCCTTGCACCACAACGTACAATATAATGATTAATTCTTTCGGGCAGCAGGGGAGGTGGGAAGAAGTAAAGGGTTTATTGGGGAAGATGCAGAGTCATGGATTACTGCCTAATGCAGTTACATACACCACACTGGTTGATATTCATGGACAGTCGGGGAGATTTAACGATGCAATTGAGTGCTTGAAAGTGATGAAATCTGCTGGGTTGAAGCCATCCACAACAATGTATAATGCATTAATTAATGCTTATGCACAGATGGTAATTTATCTATTTGAATTAATAGCCTCCTAAAAATTTCTTTTTAAGTTAGACCTATGTCACTTCATATTATCATATTGGCTATAGGTATGGGTTAAATTATACCCCCTTCGTCCCAAAAATGGCTCTTGATTTGGTTTGGCACAAAGTTTTAGAAAAGTAAAAGTGTTTGAAAGTGATTCAAAGGAGAGAGAAAGATTGCGAGGCACAAAAAGTTTTCCAAAACTGGAAAGAGAAGTTTTTTTTTGGGACGTCCATGAAAGGAATCGAGGAGTTTATTTTGGGACAGAGGGAGTATTACATAAAATTGATTCACATTTGCTCTCTACAACTTTCTAATTTTGGTAAGGTACAACTGTACAAGTGTGATTAATCATGAATCATATGTGTGTTATTCAAATTCGTTGGTTGCTTTAACTAAATTTATCTTGCAAACTCTCATATGATACTTTTACTGATTTATATATTTTTTTGGAAAATTACACAAAAATTAACTTTGTTTCATCAAATTGGATCCTTTTTTTGAGACAACAAGTGTTTGTAATAGACTTTTTTAAAGGGGAGATGGAGCAAGAATTCAGGGTTAGAAGCTAATGTCCTTTGTTGTTATGATGTATCTCTTCATATTTACCTATCAAATCTCCATCCTGGATATTTAATGCTCTGTAACATTTTACTTGCCATGTGTGGGTATGCATCTGTCTGCCCATGAAGCTGTTTAGAGTTCAAACTTCAAACTTACATATCGAATGTTTTAATAAATTTCGTTTGTGTCTTTGACTTACACCTAGTGTTTTAGTAATACTGTTGCATCTGGTATTAAAAAAAATTGATAGGGGCTTTCAGAGCAAGCAGTAAGAACTTTCAGGAATATGAATGCTGATGGTCTCATGCCCAGTTTATTGGCTCTGAATACTTTAATTAATGCATTTGGTGAGGATAGAAGAGATGCTGAAGCTTTTGCCGTTTTGAGGTACATGAAAGAAAATGTGAGTATAGATATTTTCCACCGAATTATTCTTCATCTGATTGTTTGCTTTCTTTTACCCTTATTTTGTTTTTAACACCAATGGCTTTATAAGCTTTTTGAGTTTTCCTGAAATTATAACCACAGGACATAAAGCCAGACGTTATCACTTACACCACTCTCATGAAAGCTTTAATTCGTGCCGAGAAATTTGGGAAGGTAAACAGTAAGTATGTGCAATTCTTCACATTTCCTTTTGTTGCTTCACCCCTATTCTTGATAGTTTCATGCTGGATACCATCTATTATAAATTTGCCACTATGTTGTTGGCACGTTTATAGTGTTATACTCCCTCCGTTTGCAAAAAGACTTCCCATTTTGATTTGGGGAAAAAATAAGGAAGTGTTAAATCATAGTTGATTTCCAATTTTGCCCCTGATGTGATGGGTAAAAGTAAGATGTGATGGATAGATTATTAGA